AAACGCATACTTTCCGCGAAATCGTCGAAAATTTTTTATCGCCACGCGCGCTCGTAATACGCACCTGACGTTAAATCGTCGAAAACGAATGACTGGATTCGAAATCGACCGATTGCTTCCCTTTTGTCATTTTTTGGTTTCTGTTGACAGAGTTGTTTGAGGAGATAAATTAAAAATAAGTGATTTTTAATATATGTATATGAAAAGAAATTGATTTAGCAGACAATCTTATGAAATTCTTCCTCGTAAAAAAAGAAGAAATAAATTCGTTCTTTCCTTGAAAGCTGATTCAATAAGCAAAAATGTATCTTCGAATAGTGGAGGGGAGGGGGCGAAGGGAGAAACGTTAACCCCGATTTCGCCTAGTGTCAACCGGCGACAAGGGAACTTTTGCCGAGGCGAACGTAAACCGAGAATAAGTTTGTATGAAAAGAATCAGGCTGAAGAAATATCGTGTCTAGTTCTTATTCCGTTCACGGTTGGTCGCAATCTAGAACAGCGTTGGGGATCGACGGGGATGCGAAGCTTTCGTAGGGAAGGGAAAGGAGTAGGAAGAATCGAACCCGCGACCCGATAAACTGCCAAGGCGAACGCTTCTCTAATGCTCGAGATACACCATTCGGTTGGAAGTTATATCGCGGTTTTGTGAAAATAAACTCAACCCTTTTTCGCGATCGGCCAGTATCGATGCCGTCCAAACCTCTACTAGCGTGATCCTCTCTTTCCTGGCTTGGTTTTCCGTACAGGATTTGGTCAGTTGCTGAATAACGGGAAATATCCACCCATCCATGAAAATGTCTCAGCTTGTATTACTACACGGAAATATTGTTTCATGCACCGTAACGAAATTCTGTTTGAAATTCTGTGTGAAACGAAAGCAATGATAAGTTATTTTAATATTTATAAAAAATATACGTGTATGAGAAAATACTTAAAAATGTATAAATAGGACTCCACGTTTTCAAATTAAATGCTTTTTCAAATAAAAGAAATTTTATCTTTCATCCTTGTATTATAACATCGCAGCTAAAGTTATAAGATGACAATAATTAACAGTGTACCTAAATTAATGAACTTAATTTTGAAAAAAAACCTTCCTTTGAACATGGATAAAATATCCATTCAGCGATTAAACGGTTCAAAAGACAAAGTGGACAGCAAAACAGCGTGGGAGGGAAGAACAGTGGATAAAGTGTACACGGTAATAATTCGAGACACGTACCGTCGACGGATTCGCATAGATAACTCGAAACTTGTAATTACCTGTCCGATACAAAATCGACGTCAAAGCGAAAAGACTGAAACGATGGAAAGGGATAGGACACGGAATGGACGTGATCGAGAACAAACGGCGAACGTGGAGTTCTTCGGCATAGATGCGGCACGATTTGTTATTCCGACGGTTGAGCATGCTTCCATGGTAGCTACCGTAGATCTTTTGCAGAATTATGAGTGGACTTTAGAAAGCAGAGTTTGATGGCTTGTAGTGCCTTTGAGAGACAAATCTCTGCTAGTGTCGAAATTGAAAGAAAAACGATATTCCTTGGAGAATTTGAAACGATTTGACATATTATACATACTGTAAATTGTGTGCCGTTTATTATGAAACTAAATGCATGTGTATAACAATCAACTGTGAACTATACATAATCATTTTCATTTGTTTTTCATAGATGAAGTTTCAAAACTTATTATGTACAATAATTGAACTCTGAATCAATTTCTTGTTGCGTTCCTGATACGAAATTTCATTGACAGTTACAATTTGTTAATGAATTTCAAGCATGATCCCATCGGGATTATAGGTACATTGTTTTCCACGATCGTCGCAGACGCATGGCGTCAGTGTGATAATAATTAATGAACGAGTCACGCTTTGAAGCCTGGTAATTACGTTATAATTGCATTAATTGTCCTGCAGCAATTTGTAATGAGATTTGCTTGGCTACCCTGTAGGTGTAGGTACAGTTACTAAGCTCCGATTGATTTGCGCCAAATGCACCCATTCGGAATCACCGGGCTAGTCAAATATATCCTAATTGAACAAATGTACCCGTCGTACTATTAATCGAATCCCAGGCTTTGTCTAAAAGTTTTTATTAATCAAACATCTAAGATTCTTTCAAATTAAATAGATTTCTTCAATATACTATTTTCATTATACTTTTAAAATAGAGTACTATAATAATTCATGCTCGTACTGAAATGCAAATATCAATTTCATTTCTATTCTCCTTATTTTATGTAATTTTCAATTACGTAAAAACCTAAATTAATGAACTTAATTTTGAAAAAAAACCTTCCTTTGAACATGGATAAAATATCCATTCAGCGATTAAACGGTTCAAAAGACAAAGTGGACAGCAAAACAGCGTGGGAGGGAAGAACAGTGGATAAAGTGTACACGGTAATAATTCGAGACACGTACCGTCGACGGATTCGCATAGATAACTCGAAACTTGTAATTACCTGTCCGATACAAAATCGACGTCAAAGCGAAAAGACTGAAACGATGGAAAGGGATAGGACACGGAATGGACGTGATCGAGAACAAACGGCGAACGTGGAGTTCTTCGGCATAGATGCGGCACGATTTGTTATTCCGACGGTTGAGCATGCTTCCATGGTAGCTACCGTAGATCTTTTGCAGAATTATGAGTGGACTTTAGAAAGCAGAGTTTGATGGCTTGTAGTGCCTTTGAGAGACAAATCTCTGCTAGTGTCGAAATTGAAAGAAAAACGATATTCCTTGGAGAATTTGAAACGATTTGACATATTATACATACTGTAAATTGTGTGCCGTTTATTATGAAACTAAATGCATGTGTATAACAATCAACTGTGAACTATACATAATCATTTTCATTTGTTTTTCATAGATGAAGTTTCAAAACTTATTATGTACAATAATTGAACTCTGAATCAATTTCTTGTTGCGTTCCTGATACGAAATTTCATTGACAGTTACAATTTGTTAATGAATTTCAAGCATGATCCCATCGGGATTATAGGTACATTGTTTTCCACGATCGTCGCAGACGCATGGCGTCAGTGTGATAATAATTAATGAACGAGTCACGCTTTGAAGCCTGGTAATTACGTTATAATTGCATTAATTGTCCTGCAGCAATTTGTAATGAGATTTGCTTGGCTACCCTGTAGGTGTAGGTACAGTTACTAAGCTCCGATTGATTTGCGCCAAATGCACCCATTCGGAATCACCGGGCTAGTCAAATATATCCTAATTGAACAAATGTACCCGTCGTACTATTAATCGAATCCCAGGCTTTGTCTAAAAGTTTTTATTAATCAAACATCTAAGATTCTTTCAAATTAAATAGATTTCTTCAATATACTATTTTCATTATACTTTTAAAATAGAGTACTATAATAATTCATGCTCGTACTGAAATGCAAATATCAATTTCATTTCTATTCTCCTTATTTTATGTAATTTTCAATTACGTAAAGAGAATATTTTCATTTTTATATTTTAAAAGTTCACTGTTGTTCATATATCAAGTAACAATTGAAAATTATCCTTCGTCGTCAGTCAGTCATACAGAAGGCAAAAGTGGAACTCGCGCATTGAAATGTCTGCAAAGGGAACTTCCTGAAATCTCCATTTTGCCAGGAGTCCCAGCAGAGGGACGAAGGACTACGTATTACAAGCCTGTCGTCCCGAAGCCAAGGGCTGCCGATTTAGGACTCGTTCTTCGCGTTCCCCCTGCGAATTCCCCGAAATGATGACACGCGAAAAAAGTCGCGGTGAATATTTGCCCGCGGCAAATACGCGATTTTCGTTACCGCGAGAAGTCGTTATTAAACCTCAAAGGACTAGCGAAGCAATTGTGGCGATAACTCCAAGAACTATACGAAATTCCTTTGTACAGCGAGAATCAAAAGTGTTGGAAGCTAGTTGCCTGTTCTACAAAACATACATTCAAGTATTGCACAAACATATTTTTACATTGAAATTATAATATGTAACGATAAATTAAATGGCGGACAAGAGTACTTTTTATATTCATTTTAGAATTTAATAGATAATAGAATGAAATTATTAATTCTGAAATACAGTCCTGACGCCAGCTATAACTCGGATTGAGGATTTTGGCCTTTTGGTAGCATTCTCGAAGTGGCCTTTGTTAGGGGCACTGGCGTGGGTGAAATTGGCCTTTCGAGTTATCAAAGGCAAATGGTAGAATTGGTTTACCAGCAGCTTTGCGAGATTCCCGTGAAATATGTGACCGTCTGATTCTCTAAAGGAAACTGAAAACGTGCAGACAAATACAGATCGGAGTAATAAGATCTTAAGAGAAATTCTTTAATGTTCACACACAATATCATTTATGTTCGACAGTAATACCTGTACTGCGTAGTAATTCATCTCGTAATTAATAAATGATGTTGAGAGTTAACAATAACGGATTATCTGAGACCTGGTTTTATGCATCTGGGATCAGTGCATAATAGGTAAAAAGAAATAAGAATGGATTCATCGCGTACACGATGACAACATACTCAAAGATAATGAGATGCGGATAATTAAGCTACATTCTCTGTGGATTCTTTCGTCCCAGTTTTCCCTGAATCTTTTGTTCTGTCCCGAACATAGGAAGTTATTTGTAACAGTCGCATCAATTACATTCTTTGATCTTTAAAAAAAACACGAAAGCAACAATCAGCTGAGAACTAGACTTTAATGAAAGTTATATTACGAATGTATTCATATTATTTACTCTTAATGTTTTCCATAAAATAGAAATTATGTGAATCATCAATGCGTCATTCTCATTTACCTAATTCTTTTCCTCAAACATGCTGTTTACATTTTAGCGTGTTAAAATGATTCATGGGTATAATGAACGCTAATTACAGTAGCCTAACACTGTTTTGGCACGGAGACTGTGGTCCAGAACAGTGGCAGAGGAATAATTAACCACTCAGCGGATTCAAACAAGCGATATACTCGGCATATATTAATTATAACTGCTTACATAATCCTTCCACGTTGCACAGCGCACCGTGTCGTCTTGGTTCGATTGCCTACACATAAATTCAGCTTCTGCAATAATGATCGCGTGGGTGCCTGGATTTGAATGTCCGGCTGACTTGTCGTTTCTCATGATATACGTATGTATAATAGTATTCTGTGTGATTAACGAACAATGCTCCTAATCCCGGCGTTCTGGTAACTGCCGATTCTCCTCTATCAAACCAAATTCACAATCGTGTAATAATACTTTTGAGCTTTTGAATAGTTTAAAAAAATTATTATGCGACTGAATGTTTCCATTCTGTTTTTACATAAGCGATCTGTCGGTTAACTGAACAAATACCGGAATCTTTGAAAGATTCCCGAAGCAATTCCGAATCTGACAGGTTCGATTCTCCATTCCTGAATCGATAAGAAATACCTCGATCGGACGGAAGGAAGAAGGAAAGGAAGGCAGGCAAAGTGTGAACGCATCGTATTACTTTTCGTTGTTCGTGTGGGTTGTAGTAGGTGAAAGTTAGACCCCTCGACGTCCAAACCGAAAGGTGGAGAGAGACAGAGGAAAAGGCGATGTGTAACAAGACAATCCAATATCCTAGCACCAGAAACGCCTCCGGGACTGACAGCTCTACCAGCTAGAGACCGAGGTTTTACCCAGCTACTCTGTTAACACCGACACTGTCCTTTGTCCCGTGTAAGCCTGCTCGAATCCTGATTAACAACCTGTCTCAGCCTTGAAATATCGTGTTTGAATCGATAATACCAAATTTTTTATTTCCCATTGGATATCCAAGAAAATCCATTGTATGGTTTAACATTCAGGAAAAATCTACTTGTTTCTCAAATCCATAGTCATTGATTTCATACATGATAATTTTTTAGAGATGTTTTAGTTACCTATTTTTGTACACCTTTAAACATTACCTTTTACAAACGACAGTTCTCTTTAATTATTGTTTATTCAGCTCAGAATAACTTATAAACTTCGTTTTACACTTCATCACGCATGGAAATTATAGAGTATTATTATTTTACAAAAGCAAAGTAAATAGAAATATTTTCGTTATACATAATACAACTTCATCAATAGAATGAATGATTGTATACGTACATACGTATAATCATGTTAATAGGAGAAGGATCTGATTTGTCACGGATGCATTTTGAGTTATAGGCCTCGTTCCATCGTCGAACAAGTTTCACGTAACCTTTTTGCCGCGGTAATGGAGAACTAAAGGGATCTATAATACCAATAATCCCTTCTACTCGACCTATTACTCTACCCTTTGTCTTTCCTGCTTCACCCTTGCGTGCTTGCCCGCCCCTGTCACGCCTCTAGCTCTTTGACTCTCTCACTTTGATTTACCGGATTAATTTCCTCTCTAGCCATCGTTCCTCTCTCTCTTCCACTCTCAATCCTTCCCTCTCATATACTATCTATATAATCCTTATTTCGTGTTATTTGATCTCAGAATTTGTCAGACCGTAATAAATTAATTTTACTCCTTGTTCTTGTTAGCGCACGCTTTCCTTCTCTCCATTGTCTGTACCCAATGTCCACTGGATTTTTTTCGCTTCACATTCGCAATATATGTACAGGAACAATCTATGATGAATTAAGAACTGACACTTGTCGACGTTAATACGAATCAAGATTTCTTAGAGCTTGGAACTAGTCATTTAAAATTCTTACGTAAAAATTGATCAGATCAAAAAATAAGGTAAACGATAATGAATGAACTCAGCAACGATTGAAATGTTGAATATACAATAAACTCACCCTCCACGGGGTTTCGTTATGAGTTCGGTGACACCCTGTACACAAATCAGAGCCATGATGGCGCGAACACTGCAGGAACGCGCTTGGCAACTGGCATTGCATTACGGTCACGTAGCAATATTCAAATAAACCGCGACAGAAAGCGACGCGGCATAATAAGTTTCGCCACCGACCACCCCGTATAGCCGCCCCGTTCCACAGCCGCGAGGTCCGGTCGATGTTCCCGGTCGGAAAACGGAGAAATATTGCGATCTTCGAGGTATCCATACGTGTACGTGTATATAGATACACGCTGGACTCACAAAAGCCCCGAGGAATTTGAAAGGAAATTATTCGCGAATGCCGATTTATAATGTGGTACGCGGCATTGTCGCGGTATGAAAATGATTGCGACCGCTGCGCGTTGCATGGGGAATAATTTGTCCAGTAATTTGTTCGGCTTTGTTCTGTTTCGATACGTTCGTTGAATTAGCTAGTAGCTAGCCTTATCTGTACGGTTAGCGCGATTACGTAACCGTGAACGGTGTGTGCATAAATTATAGCCGAACACGAAATCCGTCAATAGCAGAATTAGATAGTTCGAACAATTTATTAATGTTTAGTATCGTGTTTGCCTTTGAATAATTAAAATCACATGAATATGTCTTGTGCGTTGCTGCATCTGATCGTATTAATCTGTAGCATGAACGTATTGAATAATGTATGAAGATTTGTTTTTATTATATAATCAGATAATGGATGTTGATTTATCATCATCATATTTAAATATGATTGAATATTGAGATTTAATAAGAAAATTTGAAAAATAAGGAACATTTATCATCGTGATAATCAAATTATGTCAGACATATACAATTCATATGAGATTTATCAGGAAGTAACGTTGTCTCACGCTGGTGCTTCATTTTCTCACACAGTTCCGCGGATTGATACTTTATGAGGTGACACTCTGCGCTTATCGATGCACTCTCGCGTCTCACATCCGTGTACGAGAATAGGTCGGACTCAATAACTCGGAGGCTCAAACGGTACGCGATTTGCGACAGTCAATAAAGCCCGTGTATTCCTATTGGGCGCAAGGAAGAAGGTTTTAACCTCGCGAGCTGGACGTGTGCTGGCAAATCTTTCTCTGTCTTTGCTCTGCCACGTTTTTTCTCCACACCCTGCCACGTGTCACCGTGTCCGAATAATGGAGAAACGCGCATCCGTCGACACCTCGATCGTATCGCGTCCCGTCCTCCTTCGCGCCGCCTGATTTATCGACGTCCCGGTTCTTTCGAATTGGCTCCGATAAAACGGCTATTTTTGAAACGTTGGAAGAATGGAGGATCAACGATCGGTACCACCGTACGTACCGAAGGATCACGAAACGTTCTACATCCGGGGAAAGACAATCGCCATGCACCCGGCTGCATCTGTCGGTCGTGAATCAGGCACCTCCGCCATGCAATGTCATCGATTCTAATTTTGAATCGTACCTTTCGCACGACATTGACCATAATAGATCCTATTTACTTCGTAGCTTGAAAAAAGTGAGAGCGATGGTACGATTTCGGTTTACTCTTTAGTACTGTTATTAATTTTTTAATTATAATATGTTAGTTGTGATATAACGAAAATTATCCGAACTCCGGTGCAAAGAACTCGTTTGAATGAGTGCAATAAATAGTTGTTAGATAATACGTTTGAGTCGGAAAGAAGAATACATATGTATATTTAAAAATGCTAATTTCAACAATCGGCTAGAGATGGTGGACAAACAAAGCCGGTAATTCCGTTTCATTCCGAGTAAGCGGTGAAAGGGGGTAAAAAATTGCACTCGATGCGACGTATTAAATGGCAGAGCGGTTCGAGCGCGGCGCAGATTGGAAAATTCGTGCACATTCCTCAGGCAATTCAAATACACTGTCCGTATACATGGCGAACAAAAAAAGGAAAATAAAACAAAAAAAGTAACGCGTGTGATCAAATCGAATTTCTGGCCCACGCGCGAAATGATTTGAGCGAACAGCGTCACTCTTGCAGTAATTCTGTTACCTTTTTTCTCCTTTTTACTCTGAACGCAACGAGTGTTTAACTCACTCAGTCATTCTCTCTCTTCCTCTCTCTCTCTCTCTCTCTCTCTCTCCCTCTCTGTCTCGTCCCCTTGCCCAATTTTGTTTGCTGTTAGTGCGAGGACGCTATCCTGAGATAATTTATTCATTGGATGAAACCAACATTGTTGAAGTATCGGCGAACGCGACGTCCAATCGATGAACGCCGCTTTGAGCTTAAATCCTGTTCTCCTACTCGTGTTCAGTTTTTATTGGAAATTCGATCGCAATTTGTGGCTGCGACACATCCGAACATTTCAAAACACGGATAAAATTATTTTGATAATTTGCTCATTGTTTCATCTTCTATGCTTTATACTTCGTATTATCTGCATCAAAGCATTTGAACATTCTTATTTCCTACAAGAACGTGCTAATTAATTTTAAATTAATTTCATACGTGCTTCTCATCCCATTGTGATCAAATTCTTTTTGTTTAAATATTTGACAAAAATTCCCACCAGGATTTAATTCCACGCGTGAACAATCAACGCTGCGTGTTCGTTTTCGTTGACGGCGTTGAAGTCTATCTATGGCTGTCAAATAAATCGGGCTAGTCTTTTGTTTTGTGAAAGAATTCGCAGTACGTATATGGTAAAGACAGAGAGACACGGTCGGACGGATGGCTGTTCCGTAGCTCTATGTCGAAAGCTCTCTTTGATCATCGTGTTCATTGGTTCACGAAAAACCGTAGCGCGAATCCGTTGAAAGGGGAGAAATGTTGAAAAACGAAATACAACCGTGTGTACAGCGAAACGAGATACAATTAAAAGAGGAAGGCGGGAATAGACAATTTTCGCGATGTATTCAAACGTTTTATTCGGATCCCTCTTTCATTCTTTTTTCTCACTTTTACCGTTCATCGAATCGCCTTGAAAGTTTGATGGTTGATTTTTCCCGCAAACAATCTGCGGAGCGGCGGATTGAAATATTGATGAAGGAAATTAATTATCAGGCGATGGAAGATCGTCAGGCAACAAAAAACTTTGCCAAGTGCGCGAAAGTGGGTGTTGAAATTTCAACCTTCTAATTTCATGCTGTTTGTACGACTGCAATTTTTCATGTCAACATTCACAATTGATATAACTTTGTTGTCTCCTTTATAGAAGCTTTGAAGCCATTAAATATTACTGCAATATAATTTTAGAATGATGTATTTTTAAGATTGACGTAAAAG